CATGGTAACCGGTTCCCCAACCTAGTGACGAGATCAGAATCCTGGCTCGCCCTCTTCCCTCTCTAGAGCAGTCCTGCAGAACAGGGCAGAGTTTAGTCACCAGTCTGTGATGCTGAGGAAAAGCATTATCGGAAGACCTACCAGGCAAACCTGTTGGAGCAGGCATTGTGCATTAGAGGAACACTGGGGGGAAATTCAGTAAGGGGGTGAAAAGTAAAAAAAAAAGCCAGGGGGCCAAGTCTACCCTGGGCAGCTCATGCAGCCCCACTAGGGAAAGAGGCTGTGAGGGAGAATCTGCCCCATATGAACTTAGAATGGCCTTTTTCTTGTCTCACAAAACTGGCTTATCTGTTGGCACTAAATGACACCTATTTTGCTGAACCTTTCATTGGGAAGCCTAGTGGATAGAGCACTAGACGGGAACTCTGAAGACCCGGCTCAGCCATGGGCCTTCTGGGTGATCTTGGGAAAGTCATTTCATCCTCCTGTGCCTCAGTTTCCCCACTTGTAAAATGGGGATCCTTCACTTCGAAAGAGCTAGCCGTGGAATCTCCCCATTCCCAGAGCAATATGGGCATTGAGTGGGCAGCCGTTCTGCAAACATCCAGGCATTAATGTCCACAAACAACAAAAGAAAAGGAGCACGAAAATGGTTCATCAACCAGATGTGTGATCGGTCTAAACATACATACATTTTTTGGAGTTGCATGAGGTTTAGGTCTGGTTACATTTGAGGGGAAATCTGACTACATAAATAATCCTACTTCACGCACCCAGTTTTCATTTTTAGGTCTCATACTGCTTTACGTAGTCAAAGCCGCATTAGCCCCATTTTACAGATGGGAAAAATGAGGCACAGACAGGGACTGTGACTCACCCAAGATGACCCAAATGAGACAGGGACAGATGCAAAATTGAAACCCATGTCGTGACAGCCAGCCCAGTGCGCCACCCTCTGCTCCACAGATAAACACTCATAAATCTCTCTTGTAGAATCAGATGAATGATTTTGGCAGCTATATTACTCAGAAGATTTAAGGCATGGCTTGTCTATAACTTGAAAAAAATCTAAAACATTAACTCCTTTAAAAATCACGTTATTCAGTCATACCTCATTTTTATGAAACAGTAACTCCAGCCAAAATCCCTGAGTCTTTACAGGCATAGCAGTGTTCCCGATTCTGGCTGCCGGAGCCCGCCAAAAACCTTTTTACTGCATGCCACTGGGTTTGCTCTGTTATTCCTACTGGCTTTACAGTTCAGGTAGAAACTTTTTGTGTGTGTGCTTGTTTTGATTACAGGTCTGAAATTCACCGGTTGTACAATAAAACCCCATACGGTCTCTTAATCGTCCCTCTGCCTTTCACAAATATTGCTGTGTGCCGGCAATATGAAGTCGGTGAGATACAAAGAGTTTCTCTATTGTGTTTCTCACGCCTTGGGCACGAGCATAGGGGTAACGCTCAAAAAACAATGGAGGCAGCAGGAACTGAAGCATCTGGAAGGAATAATTTTAAAAAGCCTATTGACTTCAATAGGAACTCAGACCCTGATTCAGCAGGGCTCTTAAGCACAGAGTCTTAGGGACTAACTACATGCTTAAGTGCTTTGCTGAATCAGGGCCTATGCCCGGGGCCGCCGAGACTGGGTTCGGGGCCCCCAGCAAGGGCGGACCGGCTAAACAGGGCCGACGAGAGGGGTGGGGGAAGCCAGGCCCCCTTCCGGACCGCCGGGCCCCAGTAAGGCGACGAGAGGGGGAGGAAGCCGAGCCCCCTTCCGAACCGCCGGGCCCCGGTAAGGCGACGAGAGGGGGAGGAAGCCGGGCCCCCTTCCGGACCGCCAGGCCCCGGTAATTTGTACCGGCTTTCCCCCTCCCCTCCCTTGTCAGCCCTGCCTATGCCAATAGGGTTCTATAAAAATTAAAACCTTCCTCTAGAAATTATTCCTAAAAGCTATGGAGAAGGATTTCCTTTCCTCAGAATTTTTAAATTATCCTAGAACATTTCATAGAGAATTCTGTGTCCCTGGTTTAAAGATTCAATAGACGGATGATCAGTCTCTATCAGAGTCCCTAGAGCAGGGGTGGCCAGCCTGTGGCTCCGGAGCCACATGCGGCTCTTCAGAAGTTAATATGCAGCTCCTTGTATAAGCACCGACTCCGGGGCTGGAGCTACAGGTGCCAACTTCCCAATGTGCCGGGGGGTGCTCACTGCTCAACCCCTGGCTCTGCCACAGGCCCTTCCCCCACTCCACCTCTTCCCGCCCCCTCCCCATAGCCTGTAGTGCCCTTGCTCCTCGAGCCTCCTGCATGCCACGAAACAGCTGATCGGGAGGTGCAGGGAGGGAGCGGGAGGTGCTGATCAGCAGGGCTGCCAGTGGGGGGGAGGCACTGGGAGCAGGGTGAGGGAGTTGATGGTTGGCTGCTGACGTATTACTGTGGCTCTTTGGCAATGTACATTGAGAAGGAGCCAGAATTTACCAGGCTCCGGGTGGCCACCCCTGCCCCAGAGCTTTTCCTGTAAAAGGGCTGGCTAGAGCCACAGGAAATTATATCACATTAAAGCGATTACCAAAGCAGACAGCCAACCAGCCAGTGGAGGAGGGGATACTCATATGTTTTAGAATTGATGAAATATCAGGAACTGTGGATGCATGGTTAGTTAACACTCTGTGACAGCATGCATTAGCCACTCCCTTTTGATCTGAAAAATAGCCCAGGTTCAGGGATTTCCCTTTGCAATGTTATCCATGTATTATCATCCTTCTGCTTTGCATACTGAACCCCAGCAGAGTATAAAATGAGTTTGCCTTGCAACAGGGACACAGTACCTCGACGGTTAAAGGAAAGAAACTTTGGCAGAGAACACTATCTCCCAGCACACTTGGAGAAACCTCTCTTAGAAGCAAGGTAAGGCAACTTTATGTTTAACTGAGCAGCTGGCCAAGCAGTTATATCTGCTTGCACGTGGAATAGTTTTATTGCCGTTTGTATGTTTTTTCCCCCCTTACTAAACCAGCACAGTTTTTTTAATTGGTTCCCTGTAATGCTGCCTTGAAACCTTTATCCTCCTTGCTACAAGTAAGAGCAGTGCCACAAATATTCTTTGAATTAACCCTGTTGAAAAGGATCTAAGGAAACAAGGGACTTATTTTGATCATCAATGAATGGAAAAGAGAAATTAAGAAAGAGCACACTTAGACAGGCTGCGCTGAGATAGTGTGACAAGATTTCCTACAACTTTTCAGTATAAGCGGCTGCTCACAGGTCTCCTAGGCAAAATCCCAGGATAGCTCTGCTGTTCTAAGACCGATCCACAACAACTATACCATCAGAAGATTTAAAAAAAAAAAAAAAATTCTGATTAGCCTAAAAGCCCAGATGCTTTTAGTGAATGACAGGGTGAGTTTAGTTTTGTATCGCATTGTAATGTGCTAGTGTTGTTTGCAGTTTGGTAACTCTGCAGATATTTTTGTTACACACCCGTCTCTTCCTCTTCTTTTTACCTTTATTAAGGGCCAGAATCTAACACCCCTAGATTGAGTAGTACCTCACAGCACAAGTAGTTGCATTCTTTTCAGGGGGGTTACTCACTGTGAATAGGGGTATCAAAATCTGGCTCTGAATTCTTACACTGAACTACTTAGATTGTGAGCTTTTGGGGGTCAGGACTGTCTTTGTTTTTTGATGTGTACAGCACCTAACACAGAGGCCAAAACTGGGGCTTGTAAGTGTAAAAAAAAAAAAAAAAAAAAAAAAAAAAAAGTAAACAATTTATAACAGAAAAAAGAAAGTTTTTTTTTTTCCTTTCTTTCCTTATCTTTTGACCTTCTTGGCTACAGCTCAGTCTTTGATTTGTCTTATACAGAAAACTTAAACAATGTAATAGCTTCACTTTTACCCATCAAGTTGCTGTCTTCCCAAGGAGGAAAACTTCACTTTAGGGTCAAAGATAAGCAGAAAAGCCCAAATCCAAAAGGACAGCAAGACAAAATCGGGATCAGCCTGTGACAATTAATGGAGCATCATCCTAAACTCTGACTAGTTTGCTACATGGGTTATAGATATGCTATAATATTATTTACAAAAATCTAGTACCCAGGCAAGATTCCTCGGTTCCACATTTAGAACAGAACCTGGAATCCATAAACTTCACATTCCATTTGGCTCTGGCAGTCTCTAAGGTGCTGCAAGTTGTTTTTTGGTTTCATTCCCTGGGGAAGAATAACTTTCAGCTGGGAATCTTTGTTGTGTGAACGACGCAGGCCAGGTTTTGCCTCTTGTTTTCCTGCAAAACATAGAGGTTCAAATAAAGAAAAATATTTTTGTGATACCCAAACCTTTGAGAAACAAAACTTTAGAGGTTTTTTTTTTTTAATTTGGTATTTCTGCTAAACTTGGAACACTCATGTGTTTTCCAGACCCTAATTATGCTCTGAATTTCATTTGATCTGAGCATTTTGGATCCTCATTGCAAACATTTGTTTTATCTGTGGTGTCCTAGGAATAGGCAGCCGGTGTAGAATAAAACAGGTCTACAGCTTCTGATTGGCATGGAGAACCCCTAATTTATTTGGTGTGTATTTACGACAGGATTTGGACCCTGATTTAGCAAAGCACTGAACTAGGGAGTCCAAGGGTGTTTGCTGAGTCAGGACCTTAGTCGGCAGTTTAGCTTTCAATCATAGGATATTAAATTACAGCAGGTCCATAAACCTGTGGCATTCCCTCATCTTATCAAAGAGGGAGGTTGTATAACTGTATAACCAGTGCTTAATATGTGCCCTGACGCCTCTAGGCTTGGCAGTTCATAGCCCCGGCACCTCTGGCCTTGGTGCATCAATTCTGAATGTAAAAAAGTTACTCGAGCCCCAGCACCTCTTTCATTACAAATTAAGCACCGTGTTTAACCTCCTTTTATTTCCTTCCTTAGGAGAATCCCCTCATTACCTAAACCAGGATTTCAGGGCTAGGAAACAGCAGGCTAATTAAAAGACCAAAAATGATGTGCCCTTGGCAGTTCCTATTCAGGCCCCAAACAGGTCGGAACACATCCCCCAAAGAGGATATAAACAATAATGTGGAAAAAGCAGTCCTGAAGGTTCACAGGTAAGATTTATCTCCTCTCAATTTCACCCTTCCTGCTTTCCTACACTCTCCCTCCTTTAAGAAGGAAAGATCATAGATGTTTCAGAGGTACAAGTAAAGAATTGCCAAAGCAATCATTTTAAAGGAGAAAGTTTGAGGGATAACTTTTCCTACAGGCCACTTGGCTGCAATTGACACAGGTGAGGTAAATTTTAGTTTTCCCTTATGAGACCTGCTCACATCACTGTGACATAAAACATCCTGCCTTAAACTTTCTTTTTTTTTTTTTTAATTGTCTCTGCTTTCTATAATGTATATAATGGTGCAAGCTATGGATGGCGAGATCCACTCGTGTGTGTGTTGTGGACTTCAGCAAAGTTATTTATTAACCTTGTAATTGTACTAATTAGCTCCATAAAGTATTTTGGGATACACCTTGCATGAAAGACGGTGTATAAAATAGGGTTGCACGTTTCTCAAATGTCCCTCATTTCAAAGGATTTCACTCATTTTGGTGCCTACATTCCACCAAAATTTGGTGCCTATGTTCCACCAAAATTTGGTGCCTTCCCCCCTCCCGGCCTCCCCATTTTTCACTATTATCAGGGAAAGTTATTTACACCAGAAATAAAGAATCCTGAACCTGACTCCCACTGGAGTCACCGCTCACCAGTCAGAGCAAAGGACACACAATCTGGCCCTAAGATGGACATTAGCTAAAGGCCATCGCTGCCAGTCAAAAGCAGACTCTTTTGCTCCAGGATTGTCAGGCTAGCTCTCATCTTCTCAAATCTTGCATCCAAATTAAAAAAGGAAGAACAGAGTTCAAAAGTCAGGCCTTTTGCATGGACTTCCTTTGTTTCCTGCATAAGAAAGCAAGCCGTTTGCTTAACGCGCCGTGAGGTTGGACCTATTTGAAAGGTTCATGCAGCTATTCCCTGAAGAAAACAAATCTTCTCAACATTTTCCTTCTCTTTGTCGGTTTCCTATGACTAGTTCATAGTTGTAGCTTCTTGATGCATTTCCTTTGTTTAGTTTATAGCAGTGGTTCTCAGCCTTTTATATTCTAGGGCACGGCAATATGGAAACGGTGGCCACAACCCCGCTACCTGTTTCCAGTTCCCTTGAGTCGGGAACACATGGCTTATTGAGTTGGTATTGTTTTCAGACGCGGTGTTAGGCATCTCCCTACTCACCCCACAAGTAAACGGTAATGGGTTAAAAACTGAGCCTCTTGTACTAAATCAGATTCTGCTTATTCATTTCAAAGCTTCATGAAAGAAGAAGCCACCAAGCTAAATGATCCGAGCAACAAACAGGATGAGATGCCGCGCATCATAACTGCAGGAGAGGTCAGTGAGAGGAGACAATCTATTTCTAACTTCGGAACTGGATGCTAAGGGGTCACAGTGACAGCTGAGTGAAATTTTTCAGCTGAATTTTTTTGTGTCCCCCCTACCCCTGAGGGGGGTGGGGGGAACAGATTCAGTGACACCAAAACGTTTTGCGAATTCATGTCAGTGTCACCAAATTGTTCATTTTGTGCAACCCAAAACTTTAATGTGCCTAAGGGAGTTAGAGGCCCAACTCCTATTCCAGTGGGATTTGAGTGCCTAACTCCCTTAGTCTCCTTTGAAAATCCCAGTGTTTATTTACAAGCGTGTCTTATTTCTAAGACCATCCAGTTCATTGTTTCCCTTGGACCACCACAATTAACACACACTGAGAAATCCCAGTGAAATCTCTGGGACTACTTGCAGAGTAAGGTATTGCTCAAACAGGGAGCGTGTGAAAAATCTGACTCCTTGTTCATTTAGGACCAGATATGTGAGTAATTTCACACTCACATGCATAAGTGCTCACTTGGGTGAATAAAGTTACCACAATCTGTCCCTTAAATCCTAATGAACTGCTTAGCAATCAGAATGGGCCAAAGTCTTCCCTGATGAAACTCCGTTGATTGGCACTTACACCAGGGATAAATTTAGTCCAATGTTTTAATGTTACATGATGAATTCAGATTATTTGTATTTTCATTTTCTCTTTGCTCAGAAACCTCCGCAGAATGGCATCCAACCCATGAGCCAAATATCTGGGTGTCCGAGACATTTAAAAATTAAAAACTGGGAAAATGGAACCAGCTTTCACGACACGTTGCACCAGACGGCAAAGGGGGTAAGACCATGAAACTTTAATGGACAACTTTCCCTGGCGGGGTGCCATTGTCATTTTTAACATTTCCCTGTCTTTGCAGGTTCTCAACTGCAAGGCCAAGGCCTGCCAGGGGGCCCTCATGAACCCCAAAGGCTTGGTGAAAGGCCCCCGAGACAGTCCAGTCCCACCGGAAGAGATTTTACCCCAGGCGATAGAATTCATCAATCAATACTACAATTCATTTAAAGAGTAAGGCCATTTTAACTTCATTCTTGAATTAATTGCTCTATCTATGGGATGTGAATGCCTCTTAGTATTCTTTCATCCTGAGCTGCAAACTCCCCTACCACACACCGTCCGGTCAAACAAAAGGAACAAGAATTATGGGCTGTTAGTGAGTTAGTTGTACTAATAATATGCTGAAATGGTAGGTGCTATTTTTACCTGTAGGTCCCCACCCTCCTCAGTGAATATAGGAACGGACTTTATTGAGTGCTTTGTTGTGCAATCTGGTTTTGACTGTCTCAACCCTCCTGAGGCAGATGCAGCTTAGATAAGACTCTTTTTAAAAACAGTGTTACCATCCACGAATAAACAAGTCTCTCCAGGTCTGGTTTCAACCAGGGAAAGGTAACACAGCGCTAGAGTGGAGTAACGCCCATTGAGACCAGCCTTATAATGCGGATACGGCTTTTACTTTGGCGTTGTTTTCAATGCACTCTCTCCGTGTTCTGGCACCCTTTGCTCAAGGGCGGTACATGTTATGTCAACATTTCCCAGGGTTTAGGGCTTCTTATAAAGTTGCTGGCCTTCTAGGTAACTCGCTGCCATCCAGCATGGCAGAGTCCTCTCGTTCTCTCCCCATCAGCATGCTCAGGTGAATTTCCTAGCATCATAGAAGACGCTGTATTCTATAGTTCTCCGGACGGAGAAGGGGGGGTGAGTTTACTGCTTTGGGTGAACACATGGGAAACGCTGGAACATTTGAGTCTATCTCAAGTTCCACTATTTCAAGGCCTTAGGGATTAGTAAATACAAATTTGATCCTACAAGATGCACTAGGTCTCCTAGTTAGCTACTTCCGTGATTCAGATACTCTTCAATTTAACACACTATTTATTTTAAATTGGCCCACATTAACTTTTCTGAAAGGAGACTCTGAGGGTACGTCTACACTACGAGATTAATTCGAATTTAGATAATTCGAATTTGGGAAACAGATTGTATAAATTCGATTGTGCGCGGCCACACTAAGCACATTAATTCGGTTTTTAACCACATTAATTCGGTGGTGTGCGGCCACACTACCCCTAATTCAAATTAACAAAATCGATTTTGGTGCTACTCTGCTCGTCGGGGTGGAGTACAGAAATCGATTTTAAGTGCCCTTTAATTCGAAGTAACTGGCTCCGTTGTGTGGACGGGTTAAGGATTAATTCGGATTAACGCAGCTAAATCTGAATTAAAGTCGTAGTGTAGACCAGGCCTGATTTGCAGATCATTGTATAGCTGCTTCCTTTCCTCTTTTTACTCTGCCCAGACAGCAATTTTATGACTTCTAAAGTTCTGCTTTCATGGTGATGTTCTGATAATAAGAAACTGCTCTTTGTAGTAATCAGGGGATTATGAAATCCCATAACACCAAACAACTTGCAATTGCTTCATCTCATGGTTAGAAACAAGCACTTTCAGGAATTCCTGGCATCTTAGTTAATTTCTAAATCACTTTCTTCTTAGTCACACTCTCCTGGTCGGGTCATTGACTCAGTTTGAGTCTGGTCTTGTGTTTGATCCAGATGCAGCAAACACTTAGGCACATGCTTACTTTAACTCCGATGAGTAATCACATTGAAATCAAGGGAATAACTCATGGGAGTAAAGCTCAATACCTGCATACATGTTTCCAGAATCACAATCTTTGTCAACTAATAATGCAGTAAAATGTACATTTGTTACTGATGACAAATTCCCACACCAGCAGCACAAACACATGAGAGTATGGGCCAAATTTACCCCTGGTGTCATTTACATCAAGGGGAGTTGAACCCGCTGCCAGATGCTGAACTCGATCCTATGGTCCTGATTCCTTTCTCATCACACCAGTGTAAGGAACACCACTGAAGTCACACTGACATGTGACAGGGTGATCCAGTCCTAGGAGGCTGAAGGCCACATTTTCAGAAGAGCTCAGTGTCCAGATTTTCAAAGCAGCTCAATGCTCCTGGTAAAATCTGGCTTCATTTCTGAGACCTGAGCCCTTCTGAAAACCACAGTCTCAGGTACAAACAGCTTTCACGGTCAGAAACATTCAATTTGCAAAATCTCCCTGTAGCCACTCAGAGGTGACCTCACTACTTGGCTATTTGATCACACAGATTTACACTGTCTCACGCGCTGCCCTTGATCTTTCATCCTGGTGAAACTCGACATGTGCTCTCAGACGGAGCAGGCTATTTTCATCCTATTTATCAGCCGGCAAACCAGTTTGTCTGTGCCACGATAAATATTTCCCCAATATTGTGTCTTCATTTTCCGTGTTATCAACATAAAGAATTTGAGAGGTTAGCATCTCTGGCCAAGAGAACTACCCAGCACCTCCTCCCTGGTGTGGCGTTTTCTACACATTTTGCTCAAAAGAAATATTTCTGTATTAAAATAATAGAACTCAGAGAACAGGTACCATTAGGCCACCTCCACCCTCCTTCTGCCAAAGCAGGATTTTTCCCACCCATGGATTTCCAGTGCTTTCATCATACAAACCTGGAAAGTCCACATCTTCCTAAACAAGTTAACGTGGGAAGCTAGGCAGAAAAAGGCAGCCTACGTTAATGTATGAAGCATCATGGAGATGGGAGCTGCACCAAGGTTAAAACATTACAGCTTAGCCTTTCCAGCACTGTTTGCTCCTGAATAAGTTAATTAATCTGCCATTCACACTCAACAAGGACAGCTCAGAGATTTGGAGGCCAGAAGGAACAAGGATGATCTGACTGCAGTTGTTATAGCAGTGGCCCTGTCTCCCCCACACTCATGCCCTGCGCTTAGATAATCCATTTCTTTCCATTGCTTAAAAATACCAAGTAGTCGATCGTAACAATAGAGAAATATGGCACTTTGGGGAGAGGCGTGAGATGCAGCAGAAGGGAGATGGGACGCAGGGTGGCAGTTTCCTCTAGGACGCAGAGGGCTGTGAGAGGTGGCAAATATTTTCACCGTTGATGGCGTATTTTGGGTAGATCTATTTCATTTCCAGGTGTTGAACTACGAGGCCAGCCCATCTATGGATATTCTCTTGCAACATCCATATGTGCCAAATGACGACTTGCACAGGCGCCTAAGTGAATCCTATGAAGCACTCTCTCTCTATTCTGTGGCAAAAGCTAACCCCATCGGTCTAAATCCTCTGCTTAACGGAGGAGTTCCTTATAATCAGAGTGCTTAAATTCTGCCCTCAGTGACATCCATCCACCCTCTTGACCCACAACACAATATTTCGGCAATCACCTTGGTGAACAAAATTAGTTCTGCCTAAAGCACAGCTCATTGCGTCTCTTGATGATTGTTTCCTATTCTACAGGCCACAACCAGAAGAACACCAGCAGCGAATGCAATCAGTAACCGAAGAGATAGAAACAACAGGAACCTACCAGCTGACGAGACAGGAACTCATTTTTGCCACCAAACTGGCCTGGAGAAATGCTCCGAGATGCATCGGGAGAATACAATGGTCCAACCTGCAGGTGACTTCCTGATTATGGAAATCTAGGGGCAAGCAGATCAGCAGCTTCTGTAAATCGGCATAGCGACATTGGCTTCAACAGGCCTACGCCAAGTTACACCAGCTGAGGATACGGCCTGTATTTCAGACAATCCAAACTGCTTCCTCATTCCAGAGCCAAATCAAATAATTTTATATGGTTCAAAACACCTTAAAAATCTGCTGAGCAACAGGAGGAAATGCATCTCCTGATATTACAGCAAAGCACAAATATGTTTATTGGGCCCATATAGCAAAGATTAAGATTAACCCTTGTTAGATGAGCTCAAAGTGAAATCCTGTATCCAGATACTAGTCTAAGCCATTGCACCTTAACCTTAAATTATGATAATGAACTTCATTAGAAAAATAATTCTAAATCATCATTCCTAAATCAATTTTTTCATGTATTTCTTCTGGGAATATATAGGTGTTTGATGCACGTAACTGTACTACAGCCAAGGAAATGTTTGAACACATCTGTCGTCATCTTGAATACGCCACAAACAATGGAAACATCAGGTATGTGCTCTTTTATTCCAACTTTGGTATTCCAAACACCAATCTTTGGATCCAGATCTGGGTTTACATTCAAAACCCCCCCCCCCCTGCCCCTACAAAACTTCTGGAGTGTCTAGAAGTTTTGGTCCCCCGTCTCCATCCTTAATTCCCCCCTTTATCCTGTATCATCATTTCTTGAAGGTTTGTAAGTTGCACAGTCCCTGGAAAAGGAGGGGTTTTTAGGTTTTCGTTGGGGTTTTAATTTGTTTACAAAATGTAAATTAGCTAGTAGCGGGAACAATTTAAAAAATAATCCAAAAGCATAGGACTTGCTGTCTTTTAATGGGAGTTAATCTCTCTGGTAGATCGGCCATCACGGTCTTCCCTCAGAGGACTGATGGGAAACATGATTTCCGTTTGTGGAACAGCCAACTCATCCGATATGCTGGGTACCAAATGCCAGATGGCTCCATCTTGGGAGACCCAGCTACTGTGGAGTTTACACAGGTAAGCGTTCAAACAGAACTCAAACAACCATCCCTCTTATCTAGCTCATCTATTGGATTTTAGATATTCGTCGATCTAATCGATGTAGGTACCTTGTTATGTGGCCCTCTATATTCTATTGGTCAAAAATATTCCACAGATCTGATCAAACTCCCATTAAGGTCAATGGAAGACTTTCATTGTGCTTCGTGGACACCTTTTGTTCTGTACCTTTCTGGAGCAGGAGAGAGGAATGAGGATGGGCAAAAGGAATGGGTGGAGTCTTGGCTCCAATGCACCAACCAGCACATCTTACCTAGCATGGGGAGAACGGGGGGCGAAATTTATTACTATTATAGTCCTGCAGCAAATTACTCCCTCCGTCCCAGAGCAAGGGAGGGTTGTCTCTGAGGCACGCTATCGCCTAGGCCTACCTCTGGGATGAGGCAATTTATGTACTACCCCTCGATCAGGGCATACAATGGAGCCCTACGCGAAAAAAGCATGGCTTTATTGGAACAGGGGAATGTAGCCTTTAACATTAGACAGCATGTAAAGAGTTAACATGCTTTTGTCTTCAAACCCATGGGGGAAAAAAAAAAAAACCCAAAACAAAACCCACTTTCTTCATTTACAGTTGTGCATCGAGCTTGGGTGGAAGCCCAAATATGGCCGCTTTGATGTCGTTCCACTGGTTCTCCAAGCAAACGGCCAAGACCCGGAAATATTTGAACTGCCGCCAGAACTTGTCCTTGAAGTGTCAATGGAACATCCAAAGTAAGCATGCTGGATTTAGATAATCGTTTCTGTGCCATACCTTGACTACTAGACTATTGTTCGGCCCAGTTTATTAGCTTGTGACCTGTGGCGGGTTCCTTTATTAATTCTTTGTTCAGGTGAAATTATGTTAAATTAACCCAAGAGATAAAAATGTATGTTATAGCAGCTAAATTACATTGAAATGAATGTAGGATAATAGCATTTTTGCAGGAAGTATTTGGGAGTTCTCATCTCTGTTTCAGTCATAGTCAGTCAAAAGTACATTGCTTTTAAATAGTGTACAGAGGAGAGTGCTATCGTAATACACTTGTAGGGTGTGGGTCTTCTTGCACTCAACAAGCCTCTGATTCACCCAGGCATTTAAGTAAGACCAACATTGTTCAGCAAAGCATTTGCATCCTGATTCAGGAAAGCACTGCTAGTCGGGACAGCCTTTAAGTATGTGCTTATGTTGGGGGAGGGATAGCTCAGTGGTTTGAGCATTGGCCTGCTAAACCCAGGGTTGTGAGTTCAATCCTTGAAGGGGCCACTTAGGGATCTGGGGCAAAAATCAGTAATTGGTCCTGCTAGTGAAGGCAGGGGGCTGGACTCGATGACCTTTCAGGGTCCCTTCCAGTTCTACGAGATAGGTATATCTCCATATATTAAAGTCATGTCCAACTCAAGTGAATGGGACTTATGCACATGAAAGTTCAGGATGGGCCTGAATTGGGGCCTTAATATTAAACATGCAAGGAGTCCTACTGAAAAACACATGCTTGAGCTGGAGAGACAAGTGCTTTGCTGAATCATTTAGGACAGCAGTCTACCTACGAGAGCTACCAGCTAATAGACTTATTCCTTAAAATCTAGTGGTACAGGTCTGTGCTTTGGGATTGAAAGTTGAAACCCTGCTGATGACTCATGAGAGGGGCCATTATATAGAGCCAGATCCTCAGTTGTTATAAATCAATGTTACTCTGCTGCCTTCAGTGGAGTTATGCTGATTTGCACCAGCTGAAGATCTGGTTATTGTAGGTTTCATTTCCTGGTCTACCCTCTTGCTCTCTCTGTATAATTCCTGTACTGTGTTACCTACTATAGCATTTGCCAAATAGTTTACAGAGATTAGAGATGAGCAACTAATTTATTCATTTTCTCTCTATTATTGTTCTTGTCTTGTTTATTTTGCGAAGAGACTGCAAAGAGCTCAAAAATTCTTTGATGTTATGCACCAGTTTCTTCAGCAAGGAATTCTTGATTTTCACATGGCTAGTGAAAAGTTTGTGGTGAACATTTGCAAGCCTGTGTTGCATTGCTGAGTTACAGACAGGACTGTTCCTGTCTATTCCCTGATTGGCATTGGTTGTGCTCAGAAGGAGAGACAGCGAAGATTCTTAACTAACGGTTCAAAATGTTTCTTTAAAAAGGTATGAATGGTTTAAGGAGCTTGATTTGAAGTGGTACGCGCTGCCTGCTGTCGCCAACATGCTGCTTGAAGTGGGGGGCCTGGAATTTACAGCTTGCCCTTTTAACGGCTGGTACATGGGGACAGAGATAGGCGTGCGAGACTTCTGTGACGTACAGCGCTACAATATCCTGAAGGTAATCTTCGAGAGGGTTTTTAATGCACCTGTGTAGAAGAGGCAAGGAAGAGCACCAGATTTTACACTGAGCCCCGGGCAGGTTGGGCCTGGCCTCTACCAAGCGCTTTCTTAACGGTCTCACTGTTGCTAGTTCAGCTCCACTGGGGGCAGCAATGGTGGGAGAACTAGCGTAGAGCCGAAAGAAATGCAAATTGATTAGGAAAGAGTCGTTCATGGCAAAAAGCAAATTTAAAAACTCTTTCTGCTTTACTACACTCGTGTTATTAGTATCCCATGTGAAGGGGCGGATGTTTTTTAATATTGTAAGCTTTTTGGGAGGGGGGGGGTCATCTTTGTACAGCACCTAGCACCGGGGCCATCATTACCCATACACAAAGTACACAGCTGCGTAGGGTACCAGGAAATCCTGCGCAGCTGCGTGCTGCTCCAGCCCCTGCTCCACCTCTTCCCCATAGCCTCTGCCCCAGCCCCGCTTCTTCCTGCCTCCGCTCTGCCCCAGCCCCACCCTTACTCTACCTCTCCCAAAGCCTCCCGCCCCTGCTCTGCCCCGCCTCTTCCCGCACCTGCCCCAGCCCCCACTCCGCTGAGGACTGCAGCAGGGCTGGGCCTGCGCTCACTGGCAGCGGGAAGTGGAGCGACCCAGCCCCAGCCGTGAGTGCTGGGGTGGTTCCCTCCTGCCCCCCAAGCCAGCCCCCCCCACGTAGGGGGACTGCATAGGGCCCCAGAATAGCCCTGCCTAGCACAATGGGTTCCTGGTCCATGCCTGGAGCTTCCAGATGCAACAATACAATAATAATAGGGGACAGCTCCCCTTTAATCCCATATAACCCAGTGGGAAACCCCCTCCCCTATCTCTGAACATCCCTCCCACACACAAATTTTGACTCAGATCTTTGTCCTGAGTATTAAATTTGTTTTTTCCTCTTTTTTTTTCCACATGTAGGAAGTAGGGAGAAGGATGGGTCTGGAAACCAACAAACTTTCCTCATTATGGAAAGATCGAGCAGTGATCGAGATTAATGTTGCTGTGCTTCATAGTTTCCAAGTAAGTCAGTGACAGATACACAAAGAGACATCAAACACCCTGGGCCTGAGTCTCCTCTCCCTTGCAACAGTTTTACAGCAACCAGCCTCCAGTGGAATTGCTCCTATTTTACACTAGGCCCTTTATTTTCATCCCATGAATGCAGCGTATAAGGGGTAGCCATTCTTCCCTTGGCTGCCAGTTAAAAATGGGATGGGGTAGGACGTTGTGGAAAAAGTTCAATCATCCCATTCTAACTTCCTAGTGAGGTGCTAAAAGGCACCCTTTGATTAACAGCTTTGTTTCCAACGCCACTTGTTTAAGCCAAAACAAGTCAAAAGGTGGTCAAATGAATCAGAGGCATTGGTTAACTTGCTCGCCCGATGCTGGGGCAATAAACCACAGGGGGGAAAACACTGATCTTCAGGACTATAAAGCGAGCTGCAGCAGAGCAAGTCAAGGAGCCGTCTAGTGCAGTGCCAGTCTCTAATGATTGTTAGCAATGGATGCTTCTGAGTAAGGCATAAGGTCCCCTTAATACATATTCCACCAGGGAAAAGCCTTCTATATATAACCAGTGCAGGGAGAAAAGCAGAAGGTACCATAAAGCCCACTTGGGAAGCACTGTGATGGACATGACAAACCCCTTAGATAGTTATTGCACCTATTTGTGAAGATCTGTGACACGGGGCACAATCAGCTTATGGACTTCTCTATACAACTCTTTTAGAAACAGAACGTCACCATCATGGATCACCACTCCGCGGCGGAGTCTTTCATGAAATATATGCAGAACGAGTACCGCCTTCGAGGAGGGTGCCCAGCCGACTGGGTCTGGCTCGTGCCTCCGATATCAGGCAGCATCACCCCAGTGTTTCACCAGGAGATGCTCAACTACGTCCTCACACCTTTCTACTATTACCAGGTAAGGGCCACCAAATGATCTTAGCAGACAACTTAAAAAACACAAAAGGGCCGTTCTATCCAGGGGTCCTACGGCACTTCACACAATGGGGTCCTTGTCGGTTACTGGGGCTCCTACACACGACGATAATGCAAATAACTAAATAAGTAATATGCTGCCGGACCTAAAAACACTGTCATTCACATTAACTGCCAGTCATCGTGCCTGTGAAGTAAAATTAACTGATGGCTACAGACCGTCATTGTAGGGTTTCTAATATTTTGCGGGGGGGTGGGGAGGGAAGAGAACGGCCAGTAGTTCCTGTTAAAAATATATCATTAGGAGTATACTCCCAAACTGTCATGAAAATGCACTTGGACACAACAGAGAGGCTGCTCCTGCATTTCTGAAGTAGATGGGAGCAGGCTTGGGCTTGCAGAATGGATCATAGATGTAGATTCCCAAAATAATCTGACCTTTTCAAGGAATGACTCGATCTGTGTAAAACAAATTGTGTATGTATTCTTTTTAAGATCTCAGACCTGTATCTTATGTCTCTTTCCAGGTGGATGCTTGGAAAACACATGTCTGGCACGATGAGAAACGCAGGCCAAAGAAAAGGGAGATCAAGTTTAGAGTTTTGGCGAAGTAAGTTGCCCTGATAACAAGCCTAAATATTATATGTGTGGGATTGAACCATGAAGATCCATTCCATCCCATCCAAAAGTTAGGGTGGAGGCACTCCAGTTCCAGGTTTTTCTCATTACAGCAACCAGGGCCAATTGAATCATTTGGATCTGGACCCAGATGACCCACAATTTGATGCTGTTCATATCTGAAATGTTTGTTTAGGCCAATCTCAACTATATTCCCCTGGAGAATCCCCCAAGTGAATGCCCCAGGCCATCCTCCAAGTCAGCCTTTCCCCATATTTTTGTAAATCAGGTCAGAACGTTTTGGTGAATAAATGACAAGCTGCATCTGACTTTTCCCAGGGCTGCGTTCTTTGCATCTACGTTGATGCGGAAAACGATGGCAGCCAGGTCCAAGGCAACAGTGATCTATGCCACGGAGACTGGGAAATCTGAAACGCTGGCCAACAACCTGTGTGCCTTGTTCAACTGCGCCTTCAACACCAAGGTAAGAGTCTATCCCGCTCCCTGAAACCTCCCTTGCACATCTATGCAGTGTGGAGAGACATCTTTACCCACTAGAGAACAAGAGTTAGAAAACTCAGCACTACCAGCATCTACAAGATGTCGCAAACATTCCCTGGAGATTTTACATGCCCAAGGAATGCGAGCTCTGGCCAGAATGTGTATTTTCGGTGTACCTTGCAACTCATTCTTGGTTAGTCACAGACTATTGTTTCAATAGGAAACACTATTTTCCATCCTCTGACACCCATTTAATGGCATCAGTCAGTGAAATATCCTGATCCTACGACTGCAGCACGAATTCCTATCTAACACACGAAGTCATACAATTTGGATAAATGACAAATTCTCACAGTAGAGTATGACATTTATTGCAGCCGTTCCTACCTGCGTCAGAGAGCTCTATGCTAACTTAGAAAGCTTCACACTTCACCTTCAACCAGGTCATTGCCGCTGTAGGGGGAAAAAATAGCAGTAATTGCAGACGGATCTGAGGACCACAGTGAGGATTTATTGCTATATGTACAGCTCAGAGGCCACAGCTGAGAGGGGGGCCCCATATTGGTAGATGCTATACACGTACAAACACAGAGTCCCTTCCCTGAGAACTCAGGCCCAGATCTCAAAAAGGTACCTAGGTACCTAACGGCCATTGATTTCAATGGGAGGGAGGTGCCTAAATACAGCCGAGGATCTAGGCCTCACAGTCTAAATAGAAAAAGACAGACATGGGGTGGGAAGGGAAACTGAGGCAAAGTGGCTTGAGCAAAGTCACACAGTGGCAGGGCAACCAACAGAACTCATGCCCGCTGCCCTGTGGGCGAGCTCACACCACCGCCCAGGTTGGGTCAGCAGTGACCTGAAAATACCGTAGCTCTCTAAAGCCGGTCCTCATTTATGCCCCATAACAATCTCTTATGAACTTGGTCTCTTCCAGGTCCTCTGCATGGATGAATACAAGCTCAGTGACCTGGAAAAAGAAACCCTCCTTCTAGTCGTGACCAGCACTTTTGGAAATGGTGACTCTCCAGGCAACGGAAAGGTAACATTTAACTGAGAAATCGGTGTTAGAGCCTGATCCGAAGCCCATTAAACCCAATGGGGAAATCTTTGAATCTGGCCTGCCCCGAGAGATAATGTAAAATAAAAGTATTTGTGCAACATGAAACATTTTATTTATTTTATACAGAAATTGAAGAATGCCCTGTTCACTCTGAAAAAGATGAGCAAAAAATTCAGGTAATATATCCTCTAATTTGCATCTGATCATATCGATTGCCTTTAATGGATCATGCTGTTCAATGAGGAGCACTAACTCGATCCTCCCAAGACTCATTGATGTCTCTTTGTGCAGATATGCTGTATTTGGCCTGGGGTCAACTATGTATCCAGAGTTTTGTGCCTTCGCTCATGCCGTTGACCAAAAACTTGCACAGTTAGGCGCCTCTCCGCTCACCCAAACAGGTGAAGGGGACGAACTCAATGGGCAGGAAGAAGCCTTTCGCACATGGGCAGTGAATGCATTCAAGGTAACAGCTGTCCCGAGACCTACTGCATCTATTTTTTTCCTGGCTCTTCACTAGCTAAATTGTCCCTGTAAAGAAACTTGTGGGGAAAAAGCTACAACACACAATTACTACTAATGATGGGACCCAACTGCCCATTTCAGATCTGGATTTCAATGCCACACCATGTTGGGGATGTCGCTTTGGATCCAGCGTTTTGGTTCCGTTCATTATAATGACAGGAACTATCTGCAAGAATGAAAATCTGCATCTAGGTTTGGATTTTGAGCTCCCCAAAGTTCAGGAGTGATTTGGGACACTGTCTTATTTCAAAGAGCCCAGTTCTGCCACCTTGCATATAGTTCCATTTCAATGGGACTGTTTGTGTGGTAGGATACGCAAGGGGGCAGAAATCAGCCCTAACAGTTTTTCTAACCAGATCCTAGCTCAGTTAGACTGGTGCGGATTGGCAGTAATCCCATTGAAGTCAGTGAAGAAATCTATTCACGTTAGGAATAAGTGAAATCAAAATCTGATCCATGTACTCTACTGGATATAATTACCATGACTATTATTAATTTGTATTGTTTGAGATAGATGCTGCACAATATTATCAGTTTTCAGAGTAGCAGCCGTGTTAGTCTGTATCCGCAAAAAGAACAGGAGTACTTGTGGCACTTTAGAGACTAACAAATTTATTAGAGCATAAGCTTTCATGGGCTACAGCCCACTTCTTCGGATGCAGTGGGCTGTAGCCCACGAAAGCTTATGCTCAAATAAATTTGTTAGTCTCTAAGGTGCCACAAATATCAGTGAACCCTAAAAAAATGGCAAGTTTTAACATGAATAATCTTCAGATTAATCTTTTTTTTTTTTTTTTAAGACTGCCTGTGAGACTTTTGACATCCGTGGAAAAAATAGTATTCAGTTACCCAAGGTTTACACCTCAAATGAAACCTGGAATCCCAAGAATTACAGGATAGCACATGACTCCCAGCCTTTGGACTTGAGTAAAGGTACCTTCTCTTTCTCTCTCTCACGCTGCCTATTCTGCATCTCAAATGCCCAGGCTTTAAGGAGGATTTAGGAATGAGATCAGCTCTGATAATGCGGGATGATCGCTTTGATGTTCTACCAAGTTGGTAGAAGCAGCAAGGCCCTGATTGAGATGGGATAATTCATTTTAAGTTCTATAAGACATCACAAAAAACACCACAACTGGCAGCCATGTTGTCAGCCTCGGAAGAAAGGCCAAGGATTGAATGATCTGTTTTCTGTCATAGAAGGAGCACAAACAGTGGTGCAGCGTGTTCTCTAAATACGTTTGTTTATATAGGGTCTCATACTTGCTCATCACCATAGCATTTATCTTCATCATAGGGCAATTAACTACTCATAAAGCTGGAGGTGCCCTGGGTCAAAAGCAGCTCAGGACTTTTCCACAATTACATGACGACATCTAAAATAAATTGAATCAATAAAACTTGGATTAACCGTGGCCTCTTCCCCCCCCCCCCTCCCCACAGCACTTGGAAACATACACGCAAAAGATGTGATTCCCATGAAGCTCAAGTTCAGGCAGAATCTGCAAAGTTTAAAATCCAGGTATGGCACCTAGATCTTTTAGGTATTTTAAATATTTGCTTTTGCTAGAAGTTTAAAATAAATCCTGAGATCCAAGCATTGCTGACCTTGTAAGCGTTTGAGAAGGAGGTTTGAATTTCAGACCATTACTAAACAGGCAAACAACACAAAGCATTTTGACACTAAACGTGGAATCTGACAGAAACCTTCTCCCTGATTAATTCACCAAATCCAATGTGAATTGCTAGTTAATTCAGAAAAGTGTGTCCCCTTGGAGAAAAAGGAATGGAAAAAAACATAACTCAAATAACTAGTTTGTAATCTTACTATAATGCAAACTGAGCCATAACAATGCACAAACAAGCTCAAAAGGATGAGTTGCAAGCATTTCCAACAACAATATCCGTGTTAGAAATAGAATCCTTAAAAGACTTCCCAGTATCCTCAAATAAGCCCCTTTCTTCCTCATTCTAAATACAGTCTTCGTACAGGAAGCCATCTGGCTTAGTGATGCAAACCATTCAGCCTTCACTGGCGCAACATGACCTTTCCAGTGGCTCATCTATTTGGGTTCATGCATGCTGATCAGAGATCTTGAAGACCTTACTCATTTTGATTAAGACACTTAGCTTAACCAGACTGTAGTTTGATGAAGTCTCCATAAATTAACACAAACTAACGCTTGCCGACTGCCACTTTGAAGGTGTATAATTCTGCACTGTCAAAGGGAAATCCTGTCAACATAACCGTGACTCATCTGATCTCGTCTTCTTATATTTCAGTCGTGTTACCATCCTACTTAAGCTTTCCTGTGAGACTAATCAGGAAGTGCACTATCTGCCTGGAGAACATGTTGGGATTTTCCCAGGCAACCAGCCAGAATTAGTCAGGGGCATCATTGAGCACGTTAAGGATGCACCACCAACTGATCAGACCATCAGACTGGAAACCTGCAATGATGGTAAGTTGGCGGTACCGCAGCTACAGGGCAATGGATGTTTTACAGATATTTTCCATAATCCACCGCAAGAGTTTTCTTTTAAAGCAAAAAACAAAAACACCTCACTGAAATGCATTAAATCAAAATATATATTCACTGAGTTCTTCTGTTGTCTTCCTAGTCGGTTCTTAGGCAAGAAGTGGTGGCTGCTAAGGGTTTTACTCTATAAACTCCTAATTTTTAGTTATTCTTCTGATGCTAGGTTCTGATTTCAGTTGCACTGAAGAAAATCCACAGTAACGTCACGAGGGCGAATGGAGTGATCCTGGATTGACACAGTAACTGAGATCAGAACCTGGCTAGTGACTGTAATTACGCTAATTGATACAGGGTGTTCATTGCTACATAACACATAATCAGTCTCCTAAAAGGGGTTTCCATGTCTCTCCCTGCTCTGGAGCAGAAGCTTGCTAAATGATAGACTTTTTTGCAGAGAGATGGTAGTTTAAGCAGTTCCCTTTGTTTAAAAGGAGTGTTCTATCATCATCTGTGATTCAGTGCATATACAGAAGGCCAGAGCCTCAGCTGGTGTAAATCAGCCTAGCTCCATTACAGCCTTTAACAAGCAAATTCCTCTAGGAACACCTCGCACTGCTATCCCATAGCTTTTGGTGTTGATCACCTACAATATTATCTTTCACTAGGTTTGTTTCCTGAGTAGTCACTCCTCTCAGCTGACGTCTGTGTTCTAGATGGGATACATGGTTAACTGCAGGCAGCCTCCTTTCAACTGCACGGAGATCTGCACAGCACTTCCAGCTGACAGACTCCTTGGAAAAAGTGTTCTCAAGCGTTCCTTACATTTCCAGGTGGCTACTGGACCAGTGACAAGAAAATTCCGCCCTGCACACTTTCCCAAGCCCTGACGTATTTCCTGGATATCACTACACCACCCTCCCAACATCTGCTAAAAAAACTCTCCCAGCTGGCAACAGAGGAAGGAGACAAACACAGACTGGAACTCTTATGTCATGTGAGTGTTAGGACTTGACTTAGGCATTGAGGGGTCAGTGCCCCTCCACTGCTGTGATGAAGGCTATAGAAATGCATGGAATAATGAAGAATAGCTGTTTTCCATTTGCTGTGTAAGCTGCATTATTCCAAGACCATCCTTGATAATAGGAAGGATGGTCTTGTGGCTAAAGCCCAGGAGTGGGAATCAGGAAATAGTGTATGAAAGACTTCCCACAGTAGGAGATTTCCTGAGTGATTCTGGGCAGGTCACGTAGCCTGTCTGTGCCTCTGCTGAAAGGGTATAATAATACTACTTCCTTGTCCCCCAAGGGGGGTGGTGAGAATTAATTCAATTAAGGATTTTGAAGTCATCAAGTGGAAGATGTTATCCAAGGGCACTGGCAGACAGTTTGGTAAAGCAAAGAGACGGGATTTCTGAATTTCCAACGTGGAAATAACCCGCTGAAAGTTCAAGGTCCAGATGAGTGTCTGCTGAGTTCAACAGCTGCTCAATAGCTTTTAGGATCAGAGCACATATGCCTATGTGGATGTCTGGCAAGATAGGGCTTAAAAAAAAAAAAAAAATAGGCTCCCTCTTCTACTTCCACATCCAGGCCCAGTCAGCCAGACTGGGAGACCAACCTCTGGGAGGCATTTCAGAGCTTCTAATTCCAGATGTTAAATTAAAAAATCCCAACGTTTTCAAACCACTCAGTCTAAGTCGCGTTCTAGAGCGAACTAAGGATTGAGGTAGCCTCCTTTTATCTGAAGGATACGTATAATTAGTTTAACTTACCGCAAGCCTGAAACTTATTCCACAAGTGACCTTTCTAATCTCCCTGCTCCTAACCCCAATGAGACTCAAAAGTTCCTTGTTCACATTTGTGGCTATGTTTGGCTTTCAGAGTTCAGAGGAGTACAACAAGTGGAAGTTTTTCAACAGCCCCACCATTTTGGAGGTACTGAAAGAGTTTCCTTCCACCCAAGTCTCCACGTCTTTTTTATTAACTCAGCTGCCTCTGCTGAAACCTCGGTACTATTCCATTAGCTCTTCACGGGACATGACGCCCAAAGAGATCCATTTGACAGTTGCGGTGGTCAACTACAGGACAAGGGGTAAGTGTTACTTGCATTTATTCTTTAGTTTGATGCAATTGAGGTGACAATGATTAAGTAAACTGGATCCACCATATGGTATAAAACATACCATTTTAGCTAAGAGTTTATTTTATGCTGCTGCCCTATCAGTTGATACATGCAGAATATAAATGGATAATGAAAATTTGAAGTCTAAATAGGGAACACTACTGTTGGACTGGTAATATCCTGCAGCTAATCTTTGTTTTTTAAGTTAGTAGACAGGGCCGGCTCCAGGCACCAGCCCACCAAGCTTGTGCTTGGGGCGGCACCTGGAGGGGGGCGGCGCGGCGCTTCGGCCGCCGGGGAGAGCAGGGCCACGGCCGGGCTCGCCGCCCTCCCCCCGGCGCTCTGGCCGCCCTCCCCCCCGGTGCCCTCCCCCCCGGCCGCCGGGGGGAGAGCGGAGCCCCCGCCGGGGCTCGCCGCCCTCCTCCCAGGGCTCCGGCCGCCCTCCCCCCGCCTCCCCTGCAGGAGGGAGGGCAGCCGGAGGCTTTTTTGCCTGGGGCGGCAAAAAAGCCAGAGCCGGCCCTGTTAGTAGACACCAATTTATTTATACACCAATTTTGTTTTGATATCAGTTCAACGTCTAAAAAAAGTAGTTGAAATTTTTATTTGGGGGGAATATTCATAGATGCATTTTCCATTCCTCCTGTTAGATGGCCAAGGTCCTTTGCACCACGGTGTGTGCAGCACATGGCTGAATATGATAGATCTTAAGGAGACGGTCCCATGCTTTGTGCGCAGGTGAGTGTACATGTCTTATAGCACGCCAATCGGAAAATATCAGTACTTAGTTCAGCTCCATTATATAACAATATCTCTAATAATAATAATATCCATACGTATTGCAAGGCAACATGGTCTAATGGATTGATTGGGGACTGGGAGCCAAACACTCCTGACTTCTAACCCAACACTTTGTGATTTGACCCTATGTGTGAGCTTCTGCAAAACGGGGGTAATAACACTTCCCTACGTCAGAGGGGAATGGGCAGGATTAGCGTTTTCACCATGCCTTGAAAATAGAGAGCCCGATTCTCCATCCTCTAACCACCAGATTTACCCTGGTGTAACTCTGTTGATTGCAGTGTAATAGAGTGGAAATTCAGGCCACTAGTGATAGATAGTTGGTAAGCATTATTCAGGGAGCTTGGTGGGAATGGATTTACTCCATATGATGTTTTTCCTAACCACAGTCTCACATTTTATTGACATTAGTGCTAGCGGATTCCAGCTTCCGAAGGACCCCGCCAAGCCCTGCATTCTGATCGGCCCGGGAACAGGAATCGCTCCATTCAGAAGCTTCTGGCAGCAGCGTCTCTCTGACTTAGAAAAGAAAGGTACAGCGGGAATTACCCCCATGAGGAGCCCTGTCCCCCCAGGGACGTCATTCATCCAGAAATGTCAATTGCATGATGCTGTTTTCACTAACTTGACATACAAGCAGCATGTAATTCATCCTCATAGCTCAGCAACATGGGGCGCTGAGGGTGGACGTGAAAGAGCATGATATGGGGGGGGGGGGAGTACAAATGCTGTAAAAATGTTTGCCTGGAAGTGCTAGCCCTGAGCAAGGAGCATTGCAGACATCCACCAACCCAGGAAGAGCTTTGAGAAGGATTTCACACACACACACACACACACACACACACACACACACACACACACACAC